AGGGAGGGAGGGAAACAGGAGAAAGAGATATAAATGTAAGCAAGGAAAAAAAGAAGAGAGAGAAAGGGAGACAGAGAGAGAGAGAGAGGAGGAAAAGAAGAAAAATTCTCACTATATAAAGGTTACATTATGCACTCCCTTACTCTTTCTGAATCCTGTGTATGACTACACCAGGTCCATGACTACCACTCCTCATGGTCTTCCTCAATACAGTACCAGTTCATCATTGATAATCTCAAGGTTGGTTTCCATTGGCAGACTCACTGATACTTTATGTACTGTTATACTAGCCAATGTACCATCAATTAAACCAACCTAGAAATGGGAAGACATCAATTAGTATTGTTATTATTATTGTTATTAATGCATGTCCTGTATTGTATCTGCCAACAGTCATTATCATTGTGTAATTTCATTTAATAAACATTACTATTACTACATGTATTATAATTACTAGTATTATCATTATTATTATTATTATTATTATTATTATTATTATTATTATTATTATTACCAGTAGTATAGGTGGTTCTGCTGCTGCTTCGTTTGTCCTCCATTTCAAGTCAGTAATTAAATTAGGGAGAGTAATGCTAACACAAGAACTGTCTCTTACCCTCCAAATACTTACCCTCCAAATACTAACCACCTTACCACAAGCAAGAGATATACAAGTTTTATTACACTGCAAGGAGAGAGAGAGGAAAAGTGAGAGAGGAGGGAGGAATGGAGGAAAAAATATAATGAAAGAAAGAGATAAGAGAAGGACAAAAACAGAATAAAAAGATCGTAGTAATTATTTATTAATTTTATCAGGGTGAGCCTGAGCTAGCCCCACATAAACGACAACAGTATGTCTGTTTGTACATGTATGTCACCCTTATTTATGTGTTTTACATTTAATTCTAAAACTGGTAGCAATAATTCAGCTCCTTCATTTTTCATTGCATCATTCATTGGTAATACAGTACTAGTGCTATCAGTAGGAGGAGATATGGTCCATGATCTGAGAGTGAAATCCTCTGAACTATAAAAGAGAGAAAAAGAGAGAGAGAGAGCATGTACGTGTACATTTACTTGTAAGTTACATGAATGATTCCTTACATTGTATAAAGTGTGTTGTTACTGGTGCAGTATCTATTGTTCATTATTTGTCCAGTGTGACCTTTTAATGACAACAACTGAGTAGGAGTAGGACACCCTATTAGGAATAAGGAATGAAAGGGAGAGGAAGGATGATAATGACAGGAAATTTCACACTTTTCTATTCCCAACTATCTACATGTACATGTACATGTACCTCTCCCTACTTCTCTTGTATCATTTCCATTATTCTATTATTATTATTATTGTTATTATTATTGATTACTGACTGTCTTTGTCTGCTGTTTTTCTTCCACTGTTGGTTGATGTTATTTGTGTGAACATTTTCAGTAATTGGTTGAGTGCCCAGAACCTGTCATTGGGTTGTAGTTTTGATGAGAAGATACAAGCAGCCAATGCATCAGTCATACTGGATAACTTATTACTGATTTAAATGTAGTGACACAAGAGAGATGAGAGAGATGGGGAAAGGGAGATATGGAGAGAAAGAGGAGAGAGAGAGAGAGAGAAAAGATAAGAGGAGTAAAGTTTAACTTATTTTGTACATGTATCAATGACACTATACATGCATTATTATTGTCTATAACAAGACGCACAACACTTATAATTACATAAAGTAGACTGTTAAACAGTTCATTTGTTCTATTTTTAGTTACATTGTATGTAATTTGTACAGACAGAATTGGTGCACCGCACATGTAAAAACACTGGAGTAATATAAATAGTGTTAGCTCATAAAACAGACCACACAGGCACAAGCACATTCATCTACTGTTAGTTCTATAAGGGGAACATTTTACAGCAAAATTTATTGGTAAGGATATAAGTACATGTGTTATCATTCCTGGCTTTTCTTTCTCTTATACTTAGTATTATCATATACAAGATGATTGACATATCTCAATGGAGAGCAAGTATTGGACTGTGGAACTACTATCAAGCTGCCTCTAATAGACCAGCTAATGGTTGCCACTCTCACTCATTCAAAGATGTAGTAGATAGCAAGTCAGGCAGTACTACATCAGGAGAGAAAACATCTAAACTGCCAGCAGCTCTGTCTCTTATTGCTTTCCTCCTCCTCTTTTACTTGCTCACCTTATTAAGACACATCTTGATGATTGCTCCAACAGGTAAACAACAATTGCAACTTTGTACTTGTATATTTACTGGTATTTTATTATTAGGTAACTGCTACCAAGTACAATGCACTACTGGTGTTACTGTAGCTGATACAAATTACGTCCAGTCAGTAGTCTTACCTGGAGGCAGCAGTTCTAACCTGATTTACAATGATCTCTATTTGATTGTTTGTCTACGTATGATCCTCCTCTTATCAGGAGATGTTGAACTCAATCCTGGTCCTACAATTGATGATCGACCTGATATTTCACTCTTAATTCAATGGCTTGAACCACTTGTTGATTGGAAACGATTTGGTTTATGTTTAGTTGGAATGAAAGAACATCACACCTCAAAAATTGAACAAGAAAAGTCGAAAATTGAGGACAGAAAGTTGGAATTATATTCAAAATGGTTGTCAGTCAATCCTAATGCAACATGGAGAGATGTCATTGGTGGACTGACTAGCATAAAAGAGAATACATTAGCTCAAGATATTAAAGAAAAAGTAGCCAGTGACACTTTATCATCATCACCAAGGACACAAAATTCAGATGGTAAGTTTACAGTACTGTATAATTTTACCAATATTATCCCATATACAGTATAAAATTGCTGTGTATATTTACATAAATGTTTGTATTTTAGGAAA